GGAGTGAGATGTTACCAAGGTGATGGGGTGTATGTTTGAGGGGACAGGAAAATGGAGTTTTCAAGCAAGGGGTTTCTGGGAGGAAGGAGGAGGAAGAAGAGTAGAGATCCATCTTTGAATGAAGCAGTCTGAAGGTTGCTTGGGCTGCTGCCTCTGGAAATGTGTATGTCCTAAGATCTGAACTAGCTCCATGCAGACTGAAGGTGTACATAGGTGAGTAAACCATATTTCTTAAAGCACAACAGCCTCTGCCATGTCTTCTACTCTCCAAAGGGACACAGACCCTGTGTGTGTGCCTTGGACCCCAGGGGCTTTTGTCACCACTTGGTAGAGAGAGGGGAAGGCACCCAGCTTTTGTAACAGTATAAACAATACAGTATACAGAATAGGGTGGCCTAAAACCTCAGAGAACATGCATTAAAAAGGGGAAACAAGCCCCAAAATCATCGAGAAAAAGAAATTAGAAGCAGGAGGAAAATGCTTTTCTTGAGAGGGGTTTTGCCAAGACAATAGGCAGTTGTGTCTTCTTTTTTAAAGGAGCTCACTTAATTTGCTCCTGATCCTTGCATCCTCAACCATTTCACTCTTCCTTGAATCTCCTTGACAGACAACAGCAGGTCTGTCTGTCTATCTGTCTCACTTTAAGCCAGAAATAATTGCTGAGCTTCCGGCTTCCTCCTTATTCCTTTGCACAATCCTTTTCTTCCCCCTTCCATGTAATCATTTTTGCTCATTAGAGAAACTTGGGAGATAAGCAGAGAGAACAATGGAGATGTGCAAGCTCTTTGTTGATGCAGAAGTGGCTGGATTTTCCTGCTTTCTGTCCTCCTCCTTCTCCCCACCCCCACCCAATTGACTTTCCCAAGTTTGCCTGATGTGTCTGGACTCTGGACTAGATTCCACATTCTAGCCAAGCGATCAGTCACCAGCTTTGAACTCAGTTGGACCTTTAGGCTTTCAGGAAGCAAAAATAATAATAATAAAATGCCCCCCAAGGATGTACCTCGGCTCAAAGAGAGAGAAAGTCAGGAAATACAATAGATCAGCACTCTCCAGTTTTGAGGGAAAGCAGCTTCTGAGGACAGCTGGAAGCTGCAAAAAAGATAATTTCCTTCAGCAAGGAGGAACAACTTCTCTGCCATCAAACTCTCAAGGACTGTGTGGTGCTCTGCACAAGAACCCAGTGTTTTTAGCTCCATCTTTCAGCAGAGGACCAAAGAGTGGTCCAACTCATCTATAGGGTGGGATTGAGGTCAACCTGCCCCTCTCCACTCCCAGTAACTGTTCATACAATCGTGCTTTTGCAGTTTTTCCAGTTCTTCTCTCTGGTCCATTCTCCAGTGTCTTTGCCACAACTTTTGCTGTTGCTTATAAAGCAGGAAGAAGCAACCTTTGTTTTCCACCCTTGCACTCCCTCAGAAAACCAGTGCTTGATTCCAAACAGATGGCATGGGAGCAGCCAGGTGAACTGTTGTCTCTCCCATACTTATGTCAGACTCTATGGACATCCAAACAGCGGCTAAGTGGCCAGACCAAGGGATGTGACAGGGATGAGGGTCTCACAAAACACAGAGGCAATTTGCAAGGCTGAAAGTCAACGCTACTGAGCCACTCACATTCCTTCAGGGTTCGGGGAAGTAGCTTAGGGCATACCCAGGTTGAATTCCAGAGAGTCTGGTCAAAGTGGGAGGACAGGTGCTATGGGATTTGGAAGGAGAAGCACTCAGTGAAGTAGAGGGTGAGAGTCTCACCTGCCTCTCCAGTGCTTCCCACTCAGGAAGGCCGTGGAGGAAGGCGCTTGAGATCCAACCGGCTCTATTCCCTTTTGACCACGTCATGCTTTTCTGTCTCAGCTGGCCAATCCTGGCCAATGTTACTGCTGACCAATCCAGACCAGTGATGCTGTCCCTGGGGTTGTGAGAAGTATAGAGGATCCCCATATAGATGAAAAGTCACTCAATGGACCTGGGAAATTCTCCTACCTAAGGTCCCAGATAGGTGCTACCATGGTTAGCCAGAGCAAGAAGGTTATGTCTCCATCTGTACTAGAATTGTTTTTAGATGTTTCGTTTCTCATGCGTTTGCTGTCTTGGGTTCCTTTGGAAGGGCAGGAGATAAATTTAATAATACAGTGGTACCTCAGGTTACAGTCGCTTCAGGTTACAGACTCTGCTAAACCTGAATTAGTACCTTGGGTTAAGAAATTTGCTTCAGGATGCAAACAGAAATTGTGCGGTGGTGGTGCAGCGGCAGCGGGAGGCCCCATTAGCTAAAGTGGTACCTCAGGTTAAGAACAGTTTCAGGTTAAGACCGGACCTCCAGAACGAATTAAGTTCTTAACCCAAGGTACCACCGTACTGAAATGTTTAAATCTTTCTTTGATTGTCCTTAAATCTTCCTACCCCACTTGATATCTTCTTTAGTCATCCCTAATAATAATAATAATAATAATAATAATAATAATAATAATATATTCACAGAGCCACTGTGGGAACAAGGTCCTATGATGGGACTTGGGCCTGATCCAGCAACCAGGCTCTTCCTCTGATGTTCTTATGGCAGCTACATTAGACAGAAGTTTCCAGGGAAGGTGGTAGCTGCCCACCCACATACCTCCACATATTCCTTAAACCTGCCTGTGCCTCCTAAACTATCTGCAGCCCTCAGATATGGTAAGAGATGTTGAAGAGAGATTCAACTGCTGTCGGTCCAATCAGATTCTGTATGTGGGATGGGGGGGCACCATCTTGGTCTCCCCCCTCAGGCCTCATAATGTCTTGGGCTGGTCCTGTAAGAGCCCCACCACATCTGACAGGAATTAGCATCTGCCTCAACAGCTGCGTGGCCTTCTTTACGCCTTGTTTTCTGGTAATGAATACTAATGATCCTTCACAGTTTTATTCTAATTGCCTGCCTGTCAGGGTTTGTTACCCTTCCCCATTTTTTGACTCTCATACCAGACATTCACTCTTGCTCTTGCCGTAGTTGTTCCTGCTGTGTTGACGAGACTTTACACTTGTCAACAATTATTTTTTTTAAACAGAGTTGCGACGGTGATTAAGATTGCAGGGGGAGAGGAGACGAGAGAGAGAGAGACAGAGAGAGAGAGAGAGAGAAGATGCATCTCCACCTGTGAACATAGAATGTTCATTTCTAAGGTTACAAAATAAGAGGCTGTGGTATATAATTAAAACTAATAGGTTAACTGAGGAATATTTAGATCGTAGTCATGCCAAAGCAGCTGCCATCAGTCACTTGGCAGCTAAGCAGTCTTTGGAATCTAAGCGATGCCCACAGCAAAGGCGGTGACAAGACTGACAACCAAACATTGGGGCGTCTTGAGAAACTCCTTCCTTTGCCAAGTGAGGCATTCAGCCCTACTTTCTACTCAACAGGCAGCCAAAGACAGTGGCCTCATGGATTGTGCTGATTTGGGAAGTGCTCCTTCCATTGGCTGTTAGACATAATTCAAGGAGCTGGTTTTAAGTGCCGTCACAGGTTGATGCTGGCATGTCATAGGGCTGGGTCTTCATGTTCTGGACACCACACAGCTTAAGAACGGCAAGCATTTGATGATTCACCCTGGCTGTGGCAGTGATCTCTCCATGTGCTAAAAGTTGTTATCTGCCTGACACTTTGGGCAGGGCGGAAGAGAAATATGCATGCATAACTGTATGGGTTTGTGGGAGATTGGATCTTCATTTCCATAAGCAGTAAGAAAGCTCCCCCAGCCCCATCGCCACTGTTGCATGCACAGCCATGTCCCAGTTGAGAATATAGGTTGAGGAAAATAGGCAGAGATAGTGCTTCAAACTCAAGAGAGAATAAATGGTCAGGCAAGGGGGAAAGAAGTCTACTGTAGGAAAGGCCTGCTCTTTTTGCAGTGCCGGATTAAACCCTGTGGAGGCTCCTAGTCAGTCAAAATCTCTGGGGGTGGGGTGGGGGGTAGGGAGGCTCGCAAATCATCTCCTAATATGTTTTTTTATTTTACCAATCAACAATTTTAATAAACCAATTTTATTACACAAAACAAACTGTATTTATTTTGTTTTGTTTTGTTTTTTTAATTAACAAACTGTATTTATTTTGATCTGTTATTGCAAGGGCCCTAAATGGCATGGGGCCCATAGGCCAGTGCCTACTCTGCCTATTTGGTAATTCAGCTCTGTCTTGGGGGGCAGGTATTGTGTTTCTCTAAGCTTGGAGGCAGGTCGATGGAAGCCTTTGCACGTTCAGGCTCAGCATCCTGAATGACGAAATCTTTGCTGGGGGGCGGGCACTTGCAGTCTCCCACTTCCATCCTCAGCGAAGTTTTCCCTCAAGAGGCCCTTTGCTGGTGGGATGGTACCCCATGGCTTTGCCACAGATTTAGTGTTGCCGTTTACTGAAGCAAGACAGGTTGTTTTGAGAGTGCTGTCATTTCCCTTTGCCTGGGCGTCTTCTGTGCCACCTGCAGATTAAAGATCAACAGAACCAAAGGTTATATGGGGGGGGGGGAGAGGAAGAGAGAGGAATGAGCAGCCATTTCTGTGTGTTTCTCTGTGTGTGCAGGAACTGGGGGTGGAAGACAGATTGATGAGCAGGACTGCCTAGTAACAATCGCAGAGGAGGGAAGGGGGAAATACTGTCCAAGGTTTTGTTCTTGAAAATTATTTGGGAGGACGGGGAGGCGCTGTGAACAAAAGCTCTTCCATTTGCTATAGCTCAGAACCACAGGAAGAGAGAGGGCTCTTGTGCTTGGGGGTCCTGCTTGTAGGTTTCACACAAGCATCTGTTTGGCCACTGTTTGTGATAACAGGATGCTGGACTAGGTGAGCCATTGGCCTGATCCAGCACGCTCTTCTTGTGTTCTTATAAACAAATTGAGAGCTACTGAACACAGGAACATAGGAAGATTCCTTATGCCAAGTCAGAGCATTGGTCCATTTAGGTTAGTATATTCTACACTGACTGCCAGCAGCTGTCTGTGGTTTCAGGCAGGGAGCGTTCCCAGCCCTACCAGAAGATGCTGGGGATTGAACCTGAGACCTTCTGCATGCCAAGCAGAGACACTACCACTGAGCTACTTCTTTCACCCACTGATGTTTGGTCGGTTCTCGTTTTTGTGGGTCTCTTTCTGCTCCTGCCAACCTAGCAGTTAGAAAGCACGTCAAAGTACAAGTAGATAAATAGGTACCCCTCCGGCGGGAAGGTAAACGGCATTTACGTGCGCTGCGCTGGTTCGCCAGAAGCGGCTTAATCATGCTGGCCACATGACCCGGAAGCTGTATGTCGGCTCCCTCGGCCATTAAAGCAAGATGAGTCAGAGTCTCAGTCACGACTGGAACTAATGGTCAGGGGTACCTTTACCTTTTTTACTTTATACATGTATACAATGAAAGAGAAAGAAAGGAAAACTGTAAGGCACAACTTTTTAAGTTTAAATAGTGTTTTAAGGGAAAAGGTTAGTTCTCTTTTTATATATTTATACAGTGAGTTGTTTTATACTGGGTATATTTGTATCATTTCGCTGGTATAGTAATTTCCCCTGCCTTTGGGTATAAAATGCAGCTATTAAATGATTATGTTTTAAATTCTTCTGCATACTTACCCACGATCAAGTCCCACTGAAATCAGGGGGTCTTGACTTGTCAGTAAACATCCTCAGTAAATGTCCACAGGATCAGACTGTCAATGGGTGAAACGACACACATCTTGACTTTCGGTGTGCTGGAACTGATCTAGGGATTTTACAGGAGAGGAATCTTTTCATGGAACTCTGCAGCTCATATAGTAGTTCAAATGCACACAACAGCTGTCTTGGATTTCATTCATTCATTCATTCATAATTTTATTTGTATGCTGCTTTTCCACACACACACACACACACACACACACACACAGGTTCAAAGCAAAAGAAATTGGAACACCAAAACAATTTCATAAGAATGTAACAAAAGAACAACACAATAGCAAATATAACAACGTACCAAATAAAAAATTTTCAGGTCTATAAATACAGTATAACAAAATTACATTAACAATATTACACCAATTATTGCAATAACACTTGTAGTTTAATGTTGAATTTTTGATAGAGTGGAGATGTAAAAGATTGGGATTATTATAAAAGATGCAGGAGGAAATGGTTAACAAAAGGACCCACAAAGGGTAAAAGGGAAGTACAGGAGATTCTTGGAAATCTTGTTTTTATGTTGGTGTTGGATAATTGATTGTAAAATTGTAAAATCTGAAAAAATAAATAACTTTTTTTAAAAAACAACAACACAATATTACACCTCTTGGCCATAGCAAAAATAAACCAGGAACTTAACAGTTTTCACTTGGGTCCTAGAAAAAGCCCTCCCTTGATGCTGGTTACAGTCCCTCTCCTGCAGCAACTTGCAATAGTTTTGGATTTGATATCCTGCTTCATCACTACCCAAAGGAGTCTTAATGTGGCTAACATTCTCCTTTCCCTTCCTCCCCCACAACAAACACTCTGTGAGGTGAGTGGGGCTGAGAGACTTCAGAGAAGTATGCCTAGCCCAAGGTCACCCAGCAGCCGCATGTGGAGGTGCAGGGAATCGAACCTAGTTCACCAAATTACGAGTCCGCTGCTCTTAACCACTACACCACGCTGGCTTTCGAAACAGGTAGGGTTTCAGAAAACACTTTTCCCATTAGGTTGCTGCTTCTCTACTTTACCTGGTGATGTCGGGGATCAAACTTGGGACCTTGAGCATGCAAAGCAGACACACTGAGCTCTAGCCTCTTCCCCTGACCCATTACTGTATGGGTGAGATGAAACATCCATCCACTTCCTTCTCCACCTGCAACCTTCCGCAATGCGGAAAGGTCTTGGGCATGTTGGTTGCTGAACAACTCCAGGCACGCCTGGAGGATGCGGACCATTTGGATCCCTTCCAATCGGGATTCAGGCCTCACCATGGGACTGAAACTGCCTTGGTCGCGCTGGTTGATGATCTCCGGCGAGCTAGGGACAAAGGTGAGAGTTGTTTCCTGGTTCTGCTGGATCTCTCAGCGGCCTTTGATACAATCAACCATAACATCCTTCTGGACCGTCTAGAGGGGCTGGGAGCTGGGGGCACTGTTATACAGTGGTTTCGCTCCTTCCTCCTGGGCCGTGTTCAGAAAGTGGTGATGGGGGATGAGTGTTCAGACCCCTGGGCCCTCACTTGTGGGGTGCCTCAGGGTTCCGTCCTCTCCCCCATGCTTTTTAACATCTATATGAAGCCGCTGGGAGAGATCATCAGAGGGTTTGGGCTGGGCGTTCATCAGTATGCAGATGATACCCAGCTCTACCTCTCTTTTAAATCAGAACCAGTGAAGGCGGTGAAGGTCCTGTGTGAGTGCCTGGAGGCGGCTGGAGGATGGATGGTGGCTAATGGATTGAAGTTGAATCCTGACAAGACAGAAGTATTGTTTTTGGGGGACAGGGGGCAGGCTGGTGTGGAGGACTCCCTGGTCCTGAATAGGGTAACTGTGCCCCTGAAGGACCAGGTGCACAGCCTGGGAGTCATTTTGGACTCACAGCTGTCCATGGAGGCGCAGGTCAATTCTGTATCCAGGGCAGCTGTTTACCAACTCCACCTGGGACGCAGGCTGAGACCCTACCTGCCCACGGACTGTCTGGCCAGAGTGGTGCATGCTCTAGTTATCTCCCGCTTGGACTACTGCAATGCGCTCTACGTGGGGCTACCTTTGAAGGTGACTCGGAAACTACAACTAATCCAGAATGCGGCAGCTAGACTGGTGACTGGGGGCGGCCGCCGAGACCACATAACACCGGGCTTGAAAGACCTACATTGGCTCCCAGTACGTTTCCAAGCACAATTCAAAGTGTTGGTGCTGACCTTTAAAGCCCTAAACGGCCTCGGCCCAGTATACCTGAAGGAGCGTCTCCACCCCCATCGTTCTGCCCGGACGCTGAGGTCCAGCGCCGAGGGCCTTCTGGCGGTTCCCTCATTGCGAGAAGCAAAGCTACAGGGAACCAGGCAGAGGGCCTTCTCGGTAGTGGCGCCCGCCCTGTGGAACGCCCTCCCATCAGATGTCAAAGCGATAAATAACTACCTGACATTTAGAAGACATCTTAAGGCAGCCCTGTTCAGGCAAGTTTTTAATCTGTGATATTTTACTGTATTTTTGGTTTCTATGGAAGCCGCCCAGAGTGGCTGGGGAAACCCAGCCAGATGGGCGGGGTACAAATAACAAATTATTATTATTATTATTATTATTATTATTATGTGCTTCTGCCGGGTGCATGGCTCAGTTCCTAAATCACAAGCTCTAGCCCAGAGAGGTCAAATGCCACAGCTAACCATGTGGCTTCCATCCACTGTCATGTCTGTCTCAGCTTTCAACTCCATGCCTCCCACAGCAAGCAGCCCGTGGAGGCAGATGGCACAAGACTGTCCAGACTTGGCTTCTGCGCTGCTCCCAACACCTCCTGTGTTGCTGGTGTCAACTGCTCCAACAGCCCTTTGCGGCGGATGTATCAGATCGCAGTGGGAACAGAACGTGCCCTGCCTAGCTGAGCTGCCAGTGTCATCTGCTGCTTCAGTATTTGCAATCTGTTCTGGAATTTCTCGGCTCAACAATCAGACTCCAAGATGGCAACATAAGACGGGACCTGCTGGTTCTGACCAAGACTCCTTCTAGCCCAGCAGCTTCTTAAGGGCTGTACTGGGACAGGGGGTGGTGTGGAGATTGGTTTAATTTTTAATTGTTCTTAGCCACTTTTTCTCAGGGGTAGGTATTCTACCAATTTTGACATTTCATTCAGTCCTTGTGTCTTCATCAACCATTCTTTCAATAAAGGAACTGATGGATCCCTCTATGATTGGATAAATAAGCCTGCAATCCAAACCCACTTATGTGGGAGTAAACCCCACTGAATTCAATAGGACTTACTTCCGAGCAGAAATGGTTAGGATTGCAGTGTAAAATCATGGTGGCTATTTGGAAGTTCCAAATTTGTTCCCCCCCCCGACCCACGGTATCCAAATATTTATTTTATTTACGAATTTATTAGAAAACACTCCTGTACAGTGGTACCTCGGGTTACAGACGCTTCAGGTTACAGACTCCACTAACCCAGAAATAGTACCTCGGGTTAAGAACTTTGCTTCAGGATGAGAACAGAAATCACGTGGCGGAGGCACAGTGGCAGCGGGAGGCCCCATTAGCTAAAGTGGTGCTTCAGGTTAAGAACAGTTTCAGGTTAAGAACGGACCTCCAGAAAGAATTAAGTTCTTAACCAGAGGTACCACTGTACTGCTTTTCACATGGCGTCCAATATCATTAGAACAATGTTACAACAAAACAAATCAAAATATACCAGGAAAGAAAGCGACGTAAAATAAGCACAGCGTGCAGAGAGCAAAAATGAGTCAGCAATCAGCAACCCACAAATGTCTGGGTGAGCAGAAATGTTTCTAATTGCTGGCAAAAATACATCACTGAGGGGGCCTGCTAGATCTCTGAGCGAGACTTTTCCACAATACAAGGTGCCGCTGCAAAGAAAACCCTGTAAAGAAATAGCCAAAGCACATCAACAATGGACCCAGGGGAACAGAATAATCCCATGGCATCACTAAATGTATGTGCAAGTTTACATCAACCCCCAATAATTTTGTCTCAGCAAATCCACCAGGCATGCAAGAATTCATTCCTGGGCACAATTCCAGCATCTATTGTTTCTATCTGAATATGTCAGACGGTAATGTTTCAGACAACACTGATGATACACTATCTCATAATGGTCCTCCTGTACGTTAACGCAATGGGAATTTGCAGGTGGGTGCAGTTTACCTCGCACAGCCTATAGTAATTGGCATCCTCAACATTTCCCCATCTTTCCTTAAATGAGCTTAGCTTTGTATATTCACGAGACAGCAACAACTGGTAGATTTGAGGCTGTGGACCCTTCTGAGATTCCCTTTCATGAATAATGGATTCAAATGGTGTCGGAGTAGCTGCTGTCGTTCCCTTGTTAAGATTTTGCAAGACAAATCTCCTCCATGGTACCATTTGAAGTGCATTATTATTGAGTTTCCTTGATATCCCT